GGGGCCCGGTTGATCAGCGCAGCCTTATGGGGGGGGGGGCTTGGGGGAAGGGTGGTAGTTGTCAGGGGAGTGGCTGCCGGGTCTGAGGTGGGGAGGGTGAGGGGGGAGGGTTTGTCAAACCTGCAGTAGAACACATTCAGGTCTTCTGGTACTTGACAGACCTCCACAGCAGGGGGGATGGTTTCCTATAGCCAGTGATGCTTTTCAGGCTTCTCCACACAGACGAGGGGTCGTTGGCTGAAACCTGAGCTTTCAGCTTTTCAGAGTAGCTTCTCTTTGCTGTTCTGATCTCCCTTGTCAGTGTGTTCCTGGCCTGGCTGTACAGAGTCCTGTCCCCACACCTGTAGGCCTCCTCTTCGATTTCAAATTTGTTTTTTGAAATCATGGACATCATGTCCTCCGGGTTAAAGAGGAAAAGCACCATCCAGATTGTTATCAGTGCAAAGTTCAAAAGCCAGCATCTGTGATGGCATGGGGGTGTGTTACTATCAATGGCGTGGGTAACTTGCACATCTGTGAAGGCACCATTAATGCTGAAAAGTACATACAGGTTTTGGAGCAAAATATGCTGCCATCCAAGGACAATTGGTGTCCTCAGTTCCTAATCACTTATTAAGTGTTGTTAAAAGGAAAGATGATGTAACACAGTGGTAAAAATACCCCTGTCCTAGCTCTTTTGGAATGTGTTGCAGGCTTGAAATTCAAAATGAGTGAATGCAAAAAAAACAATAAAGTTTATCAGTTTGAACATTAAATATCTTGTTTTTGTGGTAAAGGCTCTATTCTATTATAAAGCCTCGTCCAGTTCTTTCAAACCAGGAACTCAGAGGGACGACTCAGACCACATGATTATATAAAAATATAACCGTGCTGGTTTATTCAAAGAGGCACAGGCAAGAATTAACACTTCAAGTCCAGAGATCTTCCAACCCCAGGCTGCCCAAGCAGCCCGGAAGCAGAAAAGACCCCCAACCAAGAATTGCTATACAATATTAATCATTTCTGGGCTGTCCAACCGTGACGTCACCTGATATGCCAGCTTGGCAGCTGAGCAGAGCAGTAGACCAAACATGAAGAAAATAATGTGTGTGGCTGTTGTTTTCGTGGTGTGTATCTAAAACAATTTGACATAACATTACACATTAAGACAAATATTATGGTTACTTTTACCGTCATAATAACATTCGTCCCTGACTGCAGCCTTTCTCTGCTTTAACTAACCTTGCATTTAACAGCCTGAGGAAGACATCCTGGCTACACTAACATCTTCTAATACAACAGATCTCTAATCAATATCTAACTAAGAAATTACCTAACAGTGGTGTATTCAGTTAAATATGGGTCAAAAAGGATTTGCAAGTTATTGTATTCTGTTTGTGTTTACGTTTTACACAATGCTCCAACTTCATTGTAATTGGGGTTTGTATTTCAGAACAGAACAGAGAGCCTCTTCCTTAAAACAAGAGGATAGTTTGTGAATGTGCACAACTCCTGCTACCGGTATTGTGTTGCAAGTGGACAGCACAACGAACTGCGATGGGCATTAATTAATTTGAATTTCTCCTCCATAGATACATATATGTACCAATAAAAAGAGATTTGTAACACTCTAAGCAAAGCGGGTAATTTAGAAACCCCATATTTTAACTGGCATAATGCCTGTGGGCAAAGCTGAAACTGTTTCTCTGCAAGTTTATGCTTGTTTAGCAGGTGCTTTAATAAATTACTCCTATTTTACTTGCAAAGGTTTCATTGTGGATGGCATGGCGAAACAGTGGTTAGCACTGTTGCCTTGCAGTGAGCATAGTTTTTTGTAAACTTTAGTTTCCCTTTCAGTTCTCCTGAGCTCCCTGTCTCTACTGCAGCTGTCTGCTCCCTATGTATTTGTAGGAGCTGAGCTCCGCCTGCTCTTGTTGAAACACCAATGCTGAGAGGCAGACCCACTCCATAAATGCCAAAATCGTATATTCTGATTGACTGATCTCATTCAGTGGACTCTGATAAAATGCACCTGATCCTTACAAACTGAGAACCCAAGGGACTCTTGAGTGCCCAACTGTTATTTTTACTGGCATATACAAGTGAAAGGCTGACACTGTTGAGCCTTAGTGCATTATCACCAGTTCTTCTGTTTGGTTGTGAGTTACTACACCTAATACAACCTACAGTTGGCTAGGTAGTTAGTTAGCTATGCCTTCACTTCACAAATGCATCTTTCCTGGAAGACAAATAGAACAAAAAGAATGGGTGTGATGTAATACATGTTCTCCCTTCATACATCCCTGATAAGTGGCACATTTCCGTAATTGGGTGTGGTTTTAAGTGCCATCACCTGAGACCCTCCCAGTGTTTTAGAGCAC